GTCTGTGTCTGTCTGTCCTCCGTCTGTCAGGGGTGAGTGTGCTCTTTGCACGGACGTTCTTGAGGACAGACAGGAGGAGTTTGAGTGCTTTGCTGCTTCTGTACCTCATCTCGTCTCCATGCTGCTGACCACTGAGGGAGACCCGGATGCACTAGACATCCCGACCCCGCGCTTTTACGCAGAGGCGATAGAGGGTCCCTACTCCTCTCAGTGGCAGGCAGCCATGGACGCCGAGATGGCTTCCTGGAAGTCCACAGGCACCTACGTAGACGAGGTTCCCCCACCTGGGGCGAACATCGTCAGTGGCATGTGGATCTTCAGGGTGAAGCGGCCGCCGGGTTCTCCGCCTGCCTTCAAGGCGCACTACGTTGCACGTGGCTTCAGTCAGCGACAGGGAGTTGACTTCTTTCAGACCTTCTCCCCTACCCCGAAGATGACCACTCTTCGGGTACTGCTGCACGTTGCTGCTTAGCATGACTACGAGCTCCACTCGCTTGACTTCAGCACAGCCTTCCTGCAGGGCAGCCTGCACGAGGAGATCTGGCTGCGCCGCCCACCTGGCTTCACTGGGTCGTTTCCTGCTGGTACCCAGTGGAGCCTCCGGCGGCCAGTCTACGGTCTCCGCCAGGCACCCCGTGAGTGGCACGACACACTCAGGAAGACTCTTGCTTCTCTTGGTTTTGCTCCTTCCACTGCTGACCCTTTTCTGTTTCTACGCACTGACACTGCTCTGCCGCCGTTCTACATTCTCGTGTACGTAGACGACCTCGTCTTTGCTACTGCTGACACTGAGGCACTCGCCCACGTGAAGTCCGAGCTGCAGAAGAGACACACGTGCACAGACCTGGGTGAACTGACAAGCTATCTTGGCTTGCGGATCACCCGGGACAGAGCACAGCGCACCATTACCTTGACTCAGTCACACATGGTGCAGCAGGTCCTTCAGCGCTTCGGCTTCACGTACTCCTCGCCACAGTCCACTCCTCTGCCTACCGGTCACTCGCTCTCAGCTCCACCTTCGGACGAGTCCGTAGAGCCAAGTGGCCCGTATCCAGAGCTTGTGGGCTGCCTCATGTACCTGATGACTTGCACACGACCTGACCTCGCATACCCTCTCAGCCTTCTGGCTCGCTACGTGGCTCCCGGAAGGCACCGAAAGGTGCACTGGGATGCTGCGAAGAGGGTGTTGCAATACTTGTGCAGTACATCGGGCATGGGGCTCGTGCTTGGAGGACGGGCTCGAGTTGTCCTCACTGGTCACGCTGACGCCTCCTGGGTTGACGACTTGGCTACGTAGCGGTCGTCACAGGGTTACACCTTCAGTCTTGGCTCCGGTTCTGTCTCTTGGCGGTCTACCCGCTCTTCTTCTGTTCTCAGCTCCAGTTGTGAGGCTGAGATCTACGCTGGGGCCATGGCTGCACAGGAGCTACGCTGGCTCACCTACCTGCTGACCGACTTGGGAGAGGCGCCTCGTTCTCCTCCAGTTCTGTACGTCGACAACAAGGCCATGCTGGCCTTGTGTCAGGAGCACAGACTGGAGCACAGAACGAAGCACATTGCTCTGCGCTACTTCCTTGCTCGAGAGTTGCAGCAGCGTGGTCAGCTTCGTCTTGCTTACGTGGCCTCTCAGGCCAACACTGCTGATGTTTTCACCAAGGCACTTCAGCCTTGTGATCATCAGCGTTTCTGTACTGTGTTAGGCCTTGTACCTACTGTGCCTCACTTGCTGACTTCTTGACTCTGCTTGTACTGTACTCTATACACATATACCTGCATGCCTATACTTGCTAGGTTGTGTTCACTGTATTGTTTGCTTTCCTTTATATAACTCTGCATGTGAACTGGCCTTGCAGCCCTTTGCTTGTGCTCAGACTGCGTGGTGACTTTGTGATCCACCCTGAGCTTCCTTTGTCTTTCTTGACTGGTCTTGTGACCTCTTGCTCTCCCCCACTTTGCCTATGGGGGTGTGTCAAACTTTTATATGCTATAGTCTGTTTAGGCTGTAGTGGGCCAGTTCTTACAGGGTACAACACTTTTGTGTTTCATACTTGTACCCACCTGCTGCCTAATTCATTCATTCCTCAATTCTCTCACATGTGTCTGGTGAGGTAGCTGTCGACTCAGGTTCTGCTAGAGGTACTGCGTCTGGGGGTGCTGAGCCTGGAGGTGCTGAGACTGGGGGTGCTGAGCCTGGGGGTGTTGAGACTGGGGGTGCTGAGCGTGGGGGTGCTGAGACTGGGGGTGCTGAGCCTGGGGGTGCTGAGGCTGAGGGTGCTGAGACTGGGGGTGCTGAGCCTGAGTGTGCTGAGCCTCAGGGTGCCGCTTCGTCTGGGGGTTCTGCTGGTGCTTCGCCGAGACTGTCTCCGCAGCAGCTGCATGAGCGGCTTGTTCGGTGCGCACGCCTCCGGAGTGGAGCTACCAGAGCTGGAGGTGCTGGAGTTCCTGCTGGAGCTGGTGTCACTGGAGGTACTGCGGCTACTGGTCCTGGAGGTGCTCGTACCCGGGGTACTGGAGCTGCCGTGACTGGTGGAGTTGGGGGCGCTGGAGCTGGAGACCCTACGGAGTCTGGAGCTACTGGAGCTGGAGGCTCTGGCACTGGTGGCGCTGGAGCTGGAGGAGCTGGAGTAGGCGGCTCTGGCGCTGGAGCCGCTGGAGTTGGAGGCACTGGCGCGGGAGGCGCTGGAGCTGGAGGAGCTGGAGCTGTTGACCCTGGAGGTGTTGTGCGGCCGTGACCGTACTTCGTTCCCCTGCTTCAGCAGGTTCTTGGAATCCCGTCTTCTACTGGCCTTACTCCTCCCCTCCTGTGTCTACCGCCTGACCAGTCGCAGCTGTCGTTACAGCCGGCCTCTCCGCTGCTTGCTCCTTCTCCTTACATTGAGCAGTCCGGCGGTCTTACAGAGCGTCGTGAGCCTGCGTCTCGTCCTGCCTCCCCTGTTCGCACTGGTCGTCGCGTTCCTCATCCGCGTTCTCCTCCTGTCCCCGGCACACACGCTATGACACTTCGTCCTTCCTCTGTTCCACTACGTGTTCCTCTGCCTACTCCTCCCGAGTCCTCTCTTCCTGAGGTCCCTGACCCTGAGTCTGACCGCGCTCATGCTACCAGTCCCACTGTCTCTCGCCTCCTCACCACTGCTGTCACTGACCCTTCCTTTGAGTCTGCTGCTGCGTCTGCCCTCGTTGCTGAGCTGCTTGACTTTGCTGGGGCCTATCGTCTAGACTACGCCACTGCTCTTGTTGCTGAGTCTGCGTCTGCCAGTCCTCCGTCCGTCGGGGGTGAGTGTGCTCTTCGCACGGACGTCCTTGAGGACAGGCAGGAGGACTTTGAGTGTCTTGCAGCTGCTGTACCTCGTTTCGCTTCCATGCTGCTTGCCCCTGAGGGAGACCCAGATGCACCAGACATCCCGACCCCGCGCTCTTACACAGAGGCGATTACGGGTCCTTACTCCTCTCAGTGGCAGGCAGCCATGGATGCCGAGATGGCATCCTGGAAGTCCACAGGCACCTACGTCGACGAGGTTCCCCCACCTGGGGCGAACATAGTCGATGGCATGTGGATTTTCAGGGTGAAGCGGCCGCCCGGTTCTCCGCCTGCCTTCAAGGCGCGTTACGTTGCTCGAGGCTTCAGTCAGCGACAGGGGGTTGAATACTTCCAGACCTTCTCCCCCACCCCGAAGATGACTACTCTTCGGGTGTTGCTGCACGCAGTCTACGGTCTCCGCCAGACGCCTCGCGAGTGGCACAACACACTGAGGACTACACTTGCGGCTCTTGGGTTTGCTCCTTCTACTGCTTACCCGTTGCTGTTTCTACGCACCGACACCTCACTGCCGTCGTTCTACGTCCTCGTGTACGTCGACGACCTCGTCTTTGCCACTGCTGACACTGAGGCACTGACCCTTGTGAAGTTGGAGCTGCAGAAGAGACACACCTGCACTGACCTGGGTGAACCGCGCAGCTATCTTGGCTTGCAGATCACCCGGGACAGAGCACGGTGCACCATCACACTGACTCAGTCACACATGGTGCACCAGGTCCTTCAGCGCTTCGGCTTCCAGTTCTCCTCGCCATAGCCCACTCCTCTGTCTACTGGCCACTCGCTCTCAGCTCCACCTTCGGAGGAGTCCGTAGAGCCGAGTGGTCCGTACCCAGAGCTTGTGGGTTGCCTCATGTACCTGATAATGTGCACACGACCTGACCTCGCATACCCTCTCAGCCTTCTGGCTCGCTACGTGGCTCCCGGTAGGCACCGAAAGGCGCACTGGGATGCCGCGAAAAGGGTACTGTGTTACTTGTGCAGTACGTCAGGTATGGGGCTCGAGCTTGGAGGACGGGGTCCAGTTGTCCTCACTGGTCACGCAGACGCTTCTTGGGCTGACGACTCAGCTACGCAGCGGTCGTCACAGGGTTACACCTTCAGCCTTGGTTCCAGCTCTGTCTCCTGGCGGTCTACCCGCTCGTCTTTGGTTCTCAGCTCTAGTTGTGAGGCTGAGATCGCAGGAGCCATGGCTGCACAGGAGCTACGCTGGCTCACCTACCTGCTGACTGACTTGGGAGAGCAGCCTTGTTCGTAGACATAGAGGCCATGATTGCCTTGTGTCAGGAGCACAGACTAGAGCACAGAACAAAGCACATCGCTCTGCGATACTTCCTTGCTCGAGAGTTGCAGCAGCGTGGCCAGCTTCGTCTTGTGTACGTGGCCACTAGGGCCAACACTGTTGATGGCGCAGACGGTGTTCGACGGGCAGGTCGACAAGGGTCTGCATAAATTAAATTCGAGCGGGAATCCCGCGTGGGAAGCAGATTTGAAAAAAGTGCGCGTCATCCTTCCCGACCTGTGGGCGGTGATGCACGGACACGCGCTCACAAGCACTGTGCTCAGGTGGGTGCCGGGTGGTGCACGCCGGCAGCGTGCTTCGTTGCACCTTTTTACCTCGACGTGTTGGTTGCACGCACGGCTGACGGGATGTGGCGGACCGTGTTCTGTCCCTTGCAGGTACCGCATGGTTCTGAACCGTTCCGATGCTTCGGCGGGCGACAAGGAGCGCAGGGTGTTGGCCATCTGCGCGGCTGTTGGGACAGTCGACGCCACTGTCAAGAAGCGTGGAGAAGCCACGGACATTTACGCTTCAGCGCTGGTGGCATCATGCGCGGCGGTGTGGAGCATCTGCCGTGACGAAGGCAGCACCGCAGACGCCGAGCGTGGTGCTGATGTTGCGGCCGGACTCCCTGGTGCAGCGCTGCCACTGAGGGACCTCTGCAGGCGCGTGACCGCCGCGGTCATGGCCACTTTGGGTGAAGGATCCGGCGAACCCGGAGGGAAAGCCAATTCGGAACAGGACAGGCATGGTGCGCGGGTGATCGATCAAGCGTTGCGCCGCGCAGGCCTGGCAATGAGGACGGACGCCAAGGTGGTGGCAAAAGAGATGATCGACACGCTCGGCCTGTGGTCGGCTTGCACCGTCGCTGCAGATCCTCTGAGAAAGCGCGGCTTCCACATGCCCTTGAGTGCCGAGATGAAACGCAAGTGCGAATCGCGGATGAAGATTGTGTCAAACATATATGCTTAGTTATATCTAGGCTTAGTTTATGTGTTTATAGTTGTCTAGGCTATAGTGGGTTTAGCCTTAGGGGGTACAGATTTCTCTCGACATTCTACTTGTACCCCTTCCCTTTTCCTAGTCAATCATTCTCGCCTACTATTCTCACATGGTATTAAGAGCAATTAGTCCTAGGACCTAATGTTAATGGGCCCACCACCTACTGCCCTGCTCGCCTAGGCCCCGGCCCGTCGCCCCTTGGTGTCACCCCTAGCCCCTAGGCTCGGCCCCTTGGCCCCGTCGCCTCGGCCCCGCTGGCCCCGTCGACTTCGTCACCCGCGCCCGGCCCGTACCTAGCCCGCGCCCGGCCCCGTCTCCTGCCCGCGCCCGGCCCGTACCTAGCCCGACGCCCGGCCCGTACCTAGCCCGTCGCCCGGCCCGTCGCCCGGCCCGTACCTAGCCCGTCGCCCGGCCCGTACCTAGCCTGTCGCCTCGGCCCCGCTGGCCCCGTCGACTTCGTCGCCCGCGCCCGGCCCGTACCTAGCCCGTCGCCCGGCCCGTACCTAGCCCGACGCCCGGCCTGTACCTAGCCCGTCGCCCGGCCCGTACCTAGCCCGTCGCCCGGCCCGTACCTAGCCCGTCGCCCGGCCCATACCTAGCCCGCGCCCGGCCCCGTCTCCTGCCTGCGCCCGGCCCGTACCTAGCCCGTCGCCCGGCCCGTACCTAGCCCGTCGCCTCGGCCCCGCTGGCCCCGTCGACTTCGTCGCCCACGCCCGGCCCGTACCTAGCCCGTTGCCCGGCCCGTACCTAGCCCGCGCCTGGCCCCGTCCTCCGCCCAGCGCCCGGCCTCGTCTCTTGCCTGCGCCCGGCCCCGTACCTAGCCCAGCGCCCGGCCCCGTACTTGCCCAGCGCCCGGCCCCGTACCTGCCCAGCGCCCGGCCCCGTACCTGCCCAGCGCCAGGCCCCGTACCTGCCCAGCGCCAGGCCCTGTACCTGCCCAGCGCCCGGCCCTGTACCTGTTTGGTTCCTCGGCCCCCCTAGGCCCCTCGGCCCCTTGTTTGGCCCCTCGGCCCCCTAGGCCCCTCGGCCCCCCCTAGGCCCCTCGGCCCCTTGTTTGGCCCCGCGGCCCCTAGGCCCCTCGGCCCCACCTCAGAGACTGGCGCCCGGCCCCCCGGCCCCTTGTTTGGCCCCTCGGCCCCCTAGGCCCCTCGGCCCCTTGTTTGGCCCCTCGGCCCCCTAGGCCCCTCGGCCCCCCCCCTAGGCCCCTCGACCCCTTGTTTGGCCCCGCGGCCCCTAGGCCCCTCGGCCCCACCTCAGAGACTGGCGCCCGGCCCCCCGGCCCCTTGTTTGGCCCCTCGGCCCCCCCTAGGCCCCTCGGCCCCTTGTTTGGCCCCTCGGCCCACTAGGCCCCTCGGCCCCCCCCTAGGCCCCTCGGCCCCTTGTTTGGCCCCGCGGCCCCTAGGCCCCTCGGCCCCACCTCAGAGACTGGCGCCCGGCCCCCCGGCCCCTTGTTTGGCCCCTCGGCCCCCTAGGCCCCTCGGCCCCTTGTTTGGCCCCTCGGCCCCCTAGGCCCCTCGGCCCCTTGTTTGGCCCCTCGGCCCCCTAGGCCCCTCGGCCCCTTGTTTGGCCCCGCAGCCCCTAGGCCCCTCGGCCCCACCTCAGAGACTGGCGCCCGGCCCCCCCGGCCCCTTGTTTGGCCCCTCGGCCCCCTAGGCCCCTCAGCCCCTTGCTTGGCCCCTCGGCCCCCTAGGCCCCTCGCCCCCCCCCCCCCCTAGGCCCCTCGGCACCTTGTTTGGCCCCGCGGCCCCTCGGCCCCACCTCAGAGACTGGCGCCCGGCCCCCCGGCCCCTTGTTTGGCCCCTCGGCCCCCTAGGCCCCTCGGCCCCCTAGGCCCCTCGGCCCCCCCTAGGCCCCTCGGCCCCTTGTTTGGCCCCGCGGCCCCTAGGCCCCTCGACCCCACCTCAGAGACTGGCGCCCGGCCCCCCGGCCCCCCCCGGCCCCTTGTTTGGCCCCGCGGCCCCTAGGCCACTCGGCCCCTCCGCAAAGACCGGTGCCCGGCCCCCCGGCCCCTTGTTTGGCCCCTCGGCCCCCTAGGCCCCTCGGCCCCCCTAGGCCCCCCCGGCCCCTTGTTTGGCCCCGCGGCCTCTAGGCCACTCGGCCTCACCTCAGAGACTGGCGCCTGGCCCCCCGGCCCTTTGTTTGGCCCCTCGGCCCCCTAGGCCCCTCGGCCCCCCTAGGCCCCCCCCTGGCCCCTTGTTTGGCCCCGCGGCCCCTAGGCCCCTCGGCTCCACCTCCGAGCCCGGCGCCCGGTCCCCTGGCCTCTTGTTTGGCCCCTCGGCCCCCCCCTAGGCCTCTCGGCTCCCCTAGACCCCCGGCCTCTTGTTTGGCCCCGCGGCCACCCAGGCTCCTCGGCCCCTATGGCGTCGCTTCGAGTTCTCCCGTTCGACCCGGAGGGTAGACCTGTAGCATTTGACACGTGGGACGACGATCTGCAACTGTACCTACTGAGCGACAGTCGGGACAGTGTCTCACTGTTTGACCACGTGTCCGGTGCCGCTCCAGCTCCTCCCGCCACAGCTGACGTTTCGACTCGTTCCCAGTGGCTGTCTCGTGACGCTACTGCCCACTTGGCCATTCGCAACCACCTGCCCGCAACAGAATGTGCTCACTTTGGCGAGCACAGGACAGCACAGGCCTTGTATGACGCTGTCGTTGCTCGCTACTCCTCCCCTGCCACTGCTGCTCTTGGCAGACTGCTACTGCCCTACCTGTTCCCTGAGCTGTCGGCTTTTGCCACAGTAGCGGACCTGGTTACCCACCTGCGCACTAGCAACGCTCGCTACCGCGCTACCGTTCCTGCTGAGTTCCTTCCCACGAACCAGCCCCCCATGTTCATCACCCTCTACTTCATAGTCACTCGCCTCCCTGACTCCCTTCGCTCTGTCAGGGACCACTTCCTCACCCTCGACCCCACTTCCCTCACTGTTGACCTCCTCGAGCAGCATCTCCTCGTAGCTGAGACTAGTGCAGTTGCTGTAGGTGCTGCTCGTGGCACCCCGCGCTCACCCTTCTTTGAGGGGTGCTCCCCCTCCCCCCTTTCCTCCTCCTTTGCCTCTGCTGCTGCGGCAGACGTCTCTGTTCCTGAGGACGTCGGTGTTGCTTCGACTAGTACGAAGCGCCGCAACAGCAAGGGCAAGGGTGGCCGGGGTAGTGGAGGAGGCAGCGGTGGTGGTGGAGGTGGCAGTGGGCGTGGCAGTGGGGGCAGCGGTAGAGGAGGCGGAGGCGGTGGAGGTGGTGGCGGCGGTGGGACCGGTGGCGGAGGTGGAGGCTCTGGTGGCGGCGGTGGAGGCAGTGGAGGGGGTGGCGGCAGTGGAGGCGGTGGGACCAGTGGTGGTCGGTCTGGACCTCAGTGTGGAGGCTTTGGTGGCGGTCGGGGCCAGCAGCAGTAGCGTCGGAGCGAGACTCAGACGCCTCAGCAGCTCCGTGAGTGGTTGGTTCAGCGTGGGGCGGGCAAGGGTAGTGAGACCTGCCCGTATGTCATTCGCACGGGTGCCCGTGCGGGCAAGACATGCGGGCGGTTTCACACTGAGCACCGCTGCTTTGCCCGCCTTGACGACGCCTGGCGCACTGAGTTTGGTGATGACGTCGAGCGCCCTCGCTGGGCGGAGTTGCTTAGGTCGGGAGTTGCCATCTTTGACCTAGACTTTGATGTTATTATCTCTGCCATGTATGCTTTGTCTTTTAGTGCTGAGGGTGACTGTTACTGGTGTGTGCCGCCTGACCCAGGTATAGCCGCTGCTGCTCTAGGTGCTAGTGCGTCTGGTACTCCCCCTGGTACTGCGCCTGCTGAGGCCCTGCACACCTTCACGTTAGACTCCGGCGCCTCGCGCTATTTCTTTCGTGACAGCACCACTCTCACTCCTCTTCCTGCACCTGTTCCGGTCAGACTGGCTGACCCCTCTGGGGGCCCGGTCGTTGCCAGTTCCTCCACTGTCCTCCTGTGTCCGGCGGTTCCGTCCGGCTCTCTGTCAGGTCTTCACCTCCCCTCGTTCTCTACGAACTTGGTGAGTACCGCTGCCCTTCAGGATGCGATGGTCACTACCACCACTCTCGGGGGTCAGCGTGTGTCGATCTGCACGTGCACGCGGACGGGGCGTCACCTGTCTACGTTCACTCGTCGGCCAGGGTCGAGTCTGTACACACTGGCTACCGAGCCTCCTCAGGTCGCAGCGTCTGCTCAGGTGTCCGCGTCAGGTCAGGTAGCCGCCTCTTGCTCGTGTCGCCTCCTGTCGCACCAGACACTTCTTTGGCACCACCGCCTGGGTCACCCCTCCCTGCCACACCTTCGTGGCATGCACTCCCGTCTCCTTGTCTTTGGTCTCCCCAGGTCTCTGCCTCCCCTGCCGCCCTCGCCTGCCCCGCCCTGTCTTCCTTGCGTCGAGGGACGGCAGCGCGCCGCTCCTCACTCCTCCTCGTTTCCCCCGACGACTGCTCCCCTGCAGACCCTCCACATGGACGTGTGGGGCCCAGCCCGCGTCAGTGGACAGGGCCGCGAGCGCTATTTTCTGCTGGTAGTTGACGACTACACGCGATACACCACAGTCTTCCCCTTGCGCAGCAAGGGTGAAGTCTCTGCTGTCTTGATCCCTTGGATCCGCACAGTCCGTCTCCAGCTGCGTGAGCGTTTCGGCCAGGACCTTCCTGTCCTGCGTCTGCACTCTGTCAGAGGTGGTGAGTTCTCCTCCGACCTCTTGCGGGACTTTTGTCGTGGGGAGGGCATCACCCAGTCGTTCACGCTTCCGGACTCCCCTCAGCAAAATGGGATTGCTGAGCGCCGCATTGGCTTAGTCATGGAGGTTGCTGGTACCTCCATGATTCATGCGGCCGCTCCCCATTTTCTGTGGCCGTTTGCGGTCCGGTACGTTGCGCATCAGCTCAACCTTTCGCCCCGTGTCTCCTTGCCGGAGACCTCGCCCACACTGCGTTGGACGGGGAAGGTTGGCGATGCGTCGGTGTTCCGGGTCTAGGGTTCTCGTGCCTTTGTTCGTGATACGTCCGCGGACAAGCTCTCCGCTCGCGCTATTCCCTGCGTCTTCCTTGGCTTTGTCCCTGATGCGCCTGGCTGGCAGTTTTACCACCCCACCTCGCGCCGTGTCCTCCCTTCTCAGGACGTCACGTTCGACGAGTCGGTTCCCTTCTACCGTCTCTTTCCCTACCGCTCTGCCCCTTCCCCGCCCCCGCCGCTCTTCCTTGCTCCCGGTCCGCCTCCAGTAGACCCCCTCCTGCGCGAGGGTCCTGCTCCCTCGGGAGTGTCTCAGGTAGACCCTCTCCCTGCCCGAGGGTACTGCGCCTGTTCAGGTAGCTGTCGTCTCAGGTGCTGCTCCAGGTGCTGCGTCTGGGGGTGCTGTGTCTGGGGGTGCGGAGCCGGGGGGTGCGGGGTCTGAGGGTGCTGGGTCTGGGGGTGCTGAGCCTGAGGGTGTTGAGCATGAGGGTGCTGGGTCGGAGGGTGCGGAGCCTAAGGGTGCTGAGTCGGACGGTGCGGAGTCTGGGGGTGCTGAGCCTCGGGGTGCTGCTTCGTCTGGAGGTCCTGCTGGTGCTTCACCGTGACTGTCCTCGTAGCAGCTGCGTGAGTGGCTTGTTCAGCGCGCACACCGTCGGAGTGGGGCTCCCGGAGCTGGCGAGCCTGGAGGCGCTGGAGCTGGAGGTGCTGCTGTTACTACTGGAGTTGGAGACCCTACGGAGCCTGGAGCAGCTGGCGCTGGAGGCACTGGAGCTGGAGTAGCTGGAGTTGGAGGCCCTGGCGCAGGCGGCACTGGAGGTGCAGGAGCTGGAGCTGTTGACCCTGGAGCTAGAGGTGATGGAGGCACTGTGCGGCCGCGCCCGTACTTCGTTCCCCTGCTTCAGCAGGTTCTTGGTGTCCCGTTTTCTACTGGTCTTCCTCCTCCCTTCCTGTGTCCACCGCCTGACCAGTCGCAGCCGCCGTTACAGCCAGCCTCCCCACTGCCTGTTCCCTCTCCTTACACTGAGCAGTCCGGAGGTCTTACAGAGCGTCGTGAGCCTGCGTCTTGTCCTGTCTCGCCTGTTCCCACTGCTCGTC